TATTTTAGGCAGACAAATACAAAGAGGTTGAAAAGCGCCTTGAAGATAAGAAGCGCGAAGACCGTGAAAAGGTGCCTATCCTCTTCTAATGAAGATTTGCATCACTTCATTTCCTTTTTTAGTTGCTTGATAATCCCTTTTTCCTAGATCATGGCTGAGCGTCAAAAATTGTTTGATGAACGTCGTGAACAAGAGAAAGAGTTACGCTCCTTGCAGCGTAAGAAGGCCTTAATTCAATATGTAAGTGCTTTAAACTTTGCGCTTTTTAGAGTTTTTTCTTGAAAAATTAACCAAAATTTTAGGCAGAGGCAAAGAAGGAGCACTACAAACTGCTGCGTAATTTCATTCAAACACAAACGAAACCAACGCTTTTCTTTGCACCGGCGAAACATTCAATGCGCTCGCTCGAACTGCTCAAAGCATCCGAAAAGGCCATTGATGGTGAGATCATGTCGACTTTTCATTACAGATTAAGTTTGTTAATGCGGGGCTAGGCGCAATGGTGCTGATGTGTTCCGTAGTAAATCAACTTTTGCCCCTCTCTTAATAGCATACCTACTCTCCACCACTTACGATCCCCCACAGATGCCTTAAACGAATGAAACCCGAGACAAAAAGTAACTACTCAGCATCGGCGCCGAACTCCATTATGTGGTGTGCTTCTTCAGTTCTACACGCTTCCCCGGTGAAACTTCTAATATGCAATTTTGCATAATTTGCATATTTTTGAAACCCAATATGCATTAAGCATCGTATTAAAGAGTTCACTTACAAAACATTACATTGTCTATTCTTCCTAAAGTATGAACACCACGTATTTTGAGGACATTCTACTCACAAAATTGTAGTTGAAAAGGGATCGAAAAGTTCTTGCATCTTTCAAATATAGCATTATCAACATGAGAAGTCATGTAATTTTTGAAGTTTTCCATTTTTTTGCTGTTGAATTTTGGCACTGGTATTTCTTTCACAGCATATGTCGTGAAATTCCGTAACGTGG